ATTCATTAAAAACTATCTATCATTCTACACTATATATTCTGGCTTACTGACAAACAAAAAATGGCACTAAACCCGGATCTCCTAGACTATTTCACAAAATTTTAAACGTTTAACAGACGCTGCTCCCCTTTCATGACAGCCTTTTCATTTCAGCATCAACACGTGTCTTTTCAATATACGGATGACAACCTAAAACAATACGGAAAAGTGCAGATCAAGTAACCTTGGCTACAAGTTACGTAACAGAATCATGCTTGGTTGGTTAGCTTCGTCTGTCGCAGACGTAGTAACCATGAACCACCTTCAGGAGACAGTAAACACGGTAATGCAGAGAAGTGAGATTGTTGATAACGATAACAAGTGCTCTTATGTTCTTTGGCATTTATACGAAAGGCAGAAATTATTTTACTGTCTTATGTTTGTTGTTGCATATTAATGGCGACGCTTAGTAGCTACAGTTATCGCTTCCTATCTACGAGTACTTGAAATAGCACGATTCAGGTTTGCAAACCCTCTGACCTTGAAGTTCGAACCGGTGACCGTGTAAAAACTGCGCTTAAAATTATTTATGGGGTGCTGAACGGGTTGAATGGATTGCACTGATTTTATTGTCCCGTTCGGAACTACGGAAACATTTCATAGCGAAGCCCATCCACGCTTAGCAAGAGTAGGACTTGAAGTTGCCACGGCGGTAAGTCTGAAGATGGCTGTCTTCTGGGTTGTTGCGCCGTGTAGTCTGGTAGAAGTTCACCGACGTTTCAGAGGTCCTTGCTGCCTCCATCATAAGGCAACAACCCAGAAGACAGCCATCTTCAAGAGTGGGAGTAATCTCAACTGCTGGAAGTCAGATTTGAATCCACAGCTCCAAAAATTTAACTACAGTTCATTCATGGAGACGTGACAGTTAATGTAAACAGAAGCACGTGAATAATCACGAAGTTAAGCACAGGTGAATCACGTGATCTGAGGGATAAAGCGTCAATGAAACCAGCAAAATGGATCATGATGACGCACACTTCTGTGTTTACATTCACTGGGCCCGAATGGATTTATCGTGTTCGCAAAATCCGCCACTGTATCAGACACAGAGTCTCCCACGCATTCTCTTTCGTTGACTTTTCCAACCAAAACGTTGAAAGTACTTCTCATTTCCGATGTGACTAGTAAACGTGCGTGCCATGGCATCCACCTTGATTTCATATTTGAATGTATTTGGCGATGATATTATGTTACCGATTTCTTTATTTTGAACTATTCCATCTTCTGTTGATAGTTTTTAAAATTCCTTAAAAATCACAAAGTTTTGGGGAACGGATTTTCCCTCGGCATCAGTTACAGAGGGAGAGACCTAATTTGTTGGATCCCGTAAAACGAACTGTTCCCGACCTGTTGATTTCATCTACGTAGTTATACAAGGCGAATAATACAAATTATGAAACTTTGCATTACAACATTTTCTTCAAACGATCATTATTCTATCCTTCAAGAAAAAATAACAAAGACCATGGGAAAGAAATAACTGAAACTGTATGAATACGTAATGCTCATGAGGGATGACAGATGGCCAGAAGAATATGCAAAAGGTACCCAAAAGGTAATGGAAGAAGGTGAGCAAGAAAGCTGTGAAAGGAAAACACTTTACAAAACTGGTAAAAGAAGCTTTTAGGAAAATGCCAACTACTACTAAGTAACTATCAGAACTTAAAACAATGTTCACAAGCTGGATGTCACTAATATTTCAATGCTAAACTTTCAGTCACTAATGAGATGGCACTGGACTATGTCCCCCCTCCCACCTAAAATACCGAAGAGGTCATGAAAGTATGTTTATTATTAGTGTAAGTAGAACAGACACATATGATGAAGAAATATATATCTAAGGACCCCCCCATAAATGTTACAAATACCGAAACACAAACTTGTTTGACCACATAATTTAAAACTAAATTCTGTTAAATATAACTGCAGTGATTCATGCAATGGAAATTTCTTGGGTGAATGTTTCTGGGAATGGTAGTATATTATTACTTTCTTTAATCCCTCATCAAATTTTCAAAAATGGTTTTAAAATGTCTTAAATTCTTCAAAAGCCACTAAATTTCAAAGATGAATCCTTTCTTCCTCTTCAGGTAAAATGGGGAGAGACGTGTTCTATTCTTGACCAAGTCCACCATAACTAAATTAATGGGTTATCTTTATCTCCCCTTTCTATCTGAATATGAAGGAAGACACATACTAAGATTCGTCCTCCATAACGAACGGAATTTTTAAGGTATTTAAGGCTTAATAAGCAGACAATGGAAAAGTCCTAAACAAGGAAAGCAGAAAATGTTTGAGCCTAGTTAGAAAGTGTTTGGCATACCTTAACTCAACCCCTTCCACTGGCCTAAGCAAGATCATTTAATGCGTGTGGACAGCACAGTAAATTATGAGGTTCTTACGAAAACGTGTTATGCTATAATGAAATGTCAAATGACCGTATTCACTTACATTTTGGCAGGAAAGAATCAAAAACACAAGTTTCCTTTCTTCTTATTTCGCGATGTGGAATATAAATAATACTATAAATTTGTCCATCCACATTGACGTGTTGTGCCTTCCACCAAAATCGCAATAAAGAACCCTCACATCGAGACAGATAGTTGGGCTCTAGAACCTGTTCAACCAACACGTAAATACGCCGCGTGGAAGTTGATGATGCAGTTAAACTGACAGAGATCACATTTCTTGCTTCCAAGGTCACTCTGCAGGTAATATACTAGTAGTCTGTGACAGTAAAGAAAGGAACTACTGCTTCCTGCATGTGTTCCGAGAATTTTTCATATTTTAATTTACACAAACACCTTTTGCCATTAATCATACACAAAGAATTAGATGTCAAACATTTGGTATGAAATATGCCTGCGTATTGAAAATCTAGGTGGCAAATACGTAATCGAAAATATACTCTCAACGCTGCTGCTGTTGCTGTTACAGCGGGATACTTTCCTATCCGTCAACACCGCCTACCAAAGTGAATGTAGTTTCAGATTAACTTACCTAGGACGGCCTGTAGAGCTTGATCCTCCCCAAGTACGTCCATGGCCGGTCCAGTTCACCTTTTGTGATGTTTTTCTTCCATTAGATTCATCTTCGAATAATTGCTTTTCCCATGTTTATATTTCATGCAAACCACACGAAAATGTTCCCGTTATCCCAGCAATGAACTTTCCTCGGAACTCTATTGAGTCACGTGACTTTCGTCACAGTGAATGAGCTTTCAAGGTTTACCAATAGATGTCGCCAACATATGCATAGTGCCTAGTTGCTTGAACGCGCTACACAATATGGATAGGAACTTGTTATTTTCAGTTGTATTGTGTGTGTTTATATATACTGGCATTCAGAGCGACATTTAAATGCACTTGATAAATTTCATAATGCTCCATACCCACATTATTTAGCTTTTAGGTATAATTGAAGACATATTCCACTCGAATCCGAATTCACTGACCAATGGCCTTCGACCGTTGTCATAGCAACCAAAATTCCGATTTATGTAAACAGATTGTCCTATGTTGTCAGTGATACAGAAGTAAAACCCTAGTCAAATAATAATTTCATATGTGTAAAATAATGTATTCAGTATCATATCCCGTCAGGTAACGAAATACACGCAGTAGCTGTAACATATAAGGACAACCAGTTATATATTACATATCTTCACTCTTTAAAGTTATGATGCTCAAAAAATAAATGCAATTGATAGCACTAATGGAGAAAATTTGTTCCTCGGTAAGGTTTCATATATGATGGAAGTTTAAAGTACGGTTTGTAGCAAGCCATTGCTAGATATGGGCACGTACTCATATCTCGGTCAAAATAATAAAAGGGCTCAAAAATCACAATGTTGCAAACATTTTCTAAAAGTAAAACAAAATGCATAATGTTTAAGAGCAAGTTCCTTTTTTGACCAATTTACCTATCCTGATATTTATGTGTGGCATTCGAGAATACGATACTTTAAAGTTTATACTTTTAATGGTACTTTCAAGGAAGAATTGGTTACCTAACACAGCAGGTGCTCATATGCCAAACATACCAAAATCCATCATCAAGATCTCACTGCCCAATCATGGAGGTAACAAGCACCTCTGAAACATCACTAAACTTCTATTTTCCTCTACTTATAGTAGTACAGTGTCTTTCCTTTCCATGTCCCTGATAACTACAATCTGATTCTTCAGAGAATTTCCTTCTTATGTATCATTTGCATAAAGTACAATGAATGAATAATAGGTCAATCTGTATATTTGATCTTGGAAGCTACTTAACAGATTCTGATTAAATTTTATATATGGGGAGAGTCTACACCAACATTTGAGTGAATTTAATTTTGGTTATACTGACCCAATACAACACATTTAGTTCACATGCAGCTCAAAATGGAACTTCATAAATGTTCTCAAAATGGCTCACAGTACATCATCCCCCCTTCATCCAAGACACACACACTAAAATATACAGACACCATTAATATCTACAATTCTGACATGAAACAGGTGATATGATACATGATAATTAACAAAATGCATGGAAAACTACATTCCTCTATTCCTAATTATCTGTTAACAAGAGACTTTCATGTTGCTAATGCTTAGCTCGAATACCTGCAACAAAAGTTCAACACAAGATGAATGTGATACAATAAAAACTGATAAATGAACGTAAAGACCACAGAGAAGTGGCACTCATTAGAAATGTTATGAGGGCCAATATATAACTTCAACAGTTCCACATCAGGGCACACATCATATAAAACCATGTGCTTGTCCAGAACCTGTCTTCTGGAATTTTACAGTTCATAAATTTTGTCATAATTGCCCACAACAAACATGAGTAAAATTAATTAAGATCAGGCATCGCAATGACAACATAAATCATCTACCAGTTACAAATATTATACAGACTGAACAATGTACAATCTTAAAAGCAGGGGAAAAAGGAGGTTGGATGCAATATGCTTTAGTACTCTCTATATGTATTTTTATGTACAGAAAATACATGATATAACATATAAGACATTATAAAAGGCACTTTTGCATTAGATAGCAGTACAATAGACTATGTTCCCATTTTGATACATCATCTTTTGCCAATAAGACACTATTTATAATATGATGAAAGTGAGATGGTACAGTCTACCACAACATAAAAAGATACTATTATCAGAAAACACAAATATTAATTCTTTTTCCATGAAAGTGACACTGAACAGCCACAGTTCTTGCATTTCTTTGGCATTACTTACTATAATCAATTTGGGCAACTGCAGTGTTTGCCAAAATGCTTGATAACTTTAACATTCAACATGGCTCATCCATGAAAGCCAAAGCTGTACACCATACTTCAGTCACTAAAACCCAAGGATTAGAATTCAACATTCTCAGTTAGTTCAGTACTCATATGAGTACATAATCTTTAGCACCTCATTCACAGATATTTGTGAAACATGTCCTTTCCTCAGGGAACGTACATATTCATACACACTACTGTGGAATACAGATAATACATCAATGAGTTTTAAAGTAAATAATAACCATTTCATGTCCTGAAATTCAAGGTTAGGCAATGACCCTCTTCCAGTTTCAACTCATCATTTCTGAGGAAATGATAATCTCCCCTCTTAGTTTCATGATAAGCCTTGGTCTTAACTACTATTGTTGTAACCATTTAGAGCCAAGGTTAAAGAATGCATAAAGCTTTACCTACACTTCACAATATGGTTCATGGCATGGCAACCTTATTTTTATTACTTCATGGTTAATAATTTAAAGAATGTAAACAAAACTAACATAACATAAAGAGGACACATTATAATACTGCAACACAAGATCATATTACTGGTATACTGAAGTTAACCACTTTCACCACTGAATTACTATGCCCTTGGTAATCTGGCACAGCAGTATGAGCCATTTTCTACTTATGAGATTGCATGATGCAATCTTGTATGCATGTGTAACAGCAGTTCAATTGAGTAACATCGACCACAAACATCACATCCAAACTTCTTCCTGTTGCTTTGCTGCTGCTGTTTTTGTAACATCATTGTCAGCTGGTGTCTCCTCTGGATCATTTTCCTCTCCTCATCAAATGCTGCAAACTCTTTATCAGTATGTAATTTTTCATGTAATGTCACTGAACGTCGATCTATAAATGCTTCATTACAATAACTACAAGGATATCGTCTAGCAGTTCTAGAAACTACTACCGGAGTACCTCGATTTCCAGTATTTGTTTTTTCAACTCTCCTGCCGGAATCTACCTTGTCAACTCTGTGTAATTTTTGGTGTAATTCTAAGTTAGTAGAATTTAAAAAACCCTGTCCACACTCACCACAGAAATACTGTGGCAACTTCCTGTAGCACTTCATTCTGGATCCTTTACATACTTGAGATTGCCTGTGTTTCCTCAAAGTGGATTTGAGGATAAATTCTCGTCCACAAATTTCACATTTATGTCTACCTTTCGTCTTCTTTGCAGAGTGCAGCTGTTGGTGAATGAATAAAACTGCTCTTGATTTAAATATGAGGGGACAAAAACTGCAATGATACTGTTTTTGCAAACCCCTGCAACGTTTCTTGTGAACACAAAGAGCTACCTTACAGAAAAAAATTTTGGCACAAGACTTGCACTGATAAAATTTCTGGCAAAACTTACTTTGAGTTGCCATTAATTCCTTCAAATCTGTAGAGTCCTTATTGAATGAATGTGGAATTTCTATACATTTGTTAGTGTTTAATAAATTATCATTTTGACTTTCACTACCTTTCCTCTCTTCATTTATTGCATAAACTGCAGCTTGAATTTTTTCTTGAATCTTCTGCTTTAATTTTGAAACAAGTGCACTACCAAGCAGTGGACGTAATGGTGATGACACCTGTCAACAAGAAACAGATTATTCCGAATTCATACCAATACTAATAGCTTGGAGCTGAAACAAAATGGACCAAGAGGGACATGCTGCTGAAATATATTCTTCAAAGGCAAAACCCAGAGATGGGCAAAGGAATGAAGCAGAAAGTAACAGGACTGCAACAAGATCTTCACAGAAATAGTGAACAAAGAAAGATTAGAATGGTTTTCAAGACAGCTGTCTTATGGGCTGTCCTGCCTCATACTCTGGTAAAGCTTACTGATGTTTCAAAGGTGCTTGCTGCCTCCATCACCCTGATGATGGAGGCAGCAAGCAACTCTGAAATTTTGGTAAACTCCTAACACTACACAGCACAACTCTAGAAAGCCATCTTCATACATTGCCATGAGAATTAGAAACCTCAATGTATTAACTAACTTCTTCTCACAAATACAATTATTAAATAACAATAATAAATTATAACATGTTTACAATTAAAGACAGTGAAAATTCTTGCTCATCTAGGATGTAATTGTGCATCTGTGCATAAGTTCAGCACACCAACCCAAGTGGGTAACTGCACTGCACTATTGGGTTAAAAATTTGCGTTACCAAATATGGCACTGAAAACAAAAGATTATTACCAATGAAGTCTGTGCAGTAAGAAAGCTGGTGTGAGTTCTTCCTGAAGCTACTTCAGTGTTCAGCTTTCATTATCTCAATTATTAATTAATTCTCTTCATTTAGCACTTTCCACAATTAGCATTAAAATTCACTGCATTCCACAATGTCAAATGGAGATTGTGCTGTATACAGTTCGACATGCAACCCTATTCAATTTAGCATGGTAAACGCTTATATTATTTGCTAATAATGCTTACTTGGTTTGGGGGATCACTGCAAGCAAGTAGTTTATCACCAGTATTTACAACAGTATTCCTGCGTAAGAAACAAATGATCTCATAAATAGGTGTTAACAGTTTAAGACAAAAGATTTCAATGTGAAGGAAAAATACATGTATACTGCATGTGCATGCTTGTGTGCACACACACACAATACTGTATATGCAGGATGTTCTTATACAGTACATTAAAAGTCACTGTGAAGTTGTGATCATGAACTAATGTATGACTTGGCAATACCGGCAGATCATAACCAAGGCAAAACACTGCACATCGACTTTTGAAAAGCCCTGTATAATCTTATATGACTCAAAGCATGTTTAAAATACAGCTGAAATTTTTACCAATTGGGCAGATCAACTCATATAACTGTGTGGTCATCATTTTTGTTATCATCTACCACTGAGAGTAGCAGAATCTGCCTAATTGATGTTACTACTTCAAGAATAGATCCCTTTAAGTCATTGCATGGGCAGGTATATACTGGGAGGCATGCCCCATAAACACAACTTACATCTACTAACCACTTAACAAAATCCACTCACCCGCGGTGTTACAATGTTTCATACAAATGTTTCATATGAAACAATTAAAGCTCAATATTAAATATTAACATCAGAAAACAAAATTTTCTTCCTGCACCTTCAGATTGATCATTTATTTATTAAATCTGTTCTGAAACTCTGCCTGAAGCTGTTTGACACACAATTACAATACTGCCTCACATTGCATGAAGCAGAACAGAATAAAAGATTATGTTACTGCAAAAATACAAAGAAAATAATAACAATAATAATCTGTGGCATAACAGCCCTCTGAGAGCCAAAGCTGACTAGCTGGCTGCTGGCCTCACATTCACATGCCTAAGCAGAGGTGAACGATCATCCAACCAGATATAGAGCGACGTGTGGTCATCACGACAAACCCCCAGCCATTGCTAGTTTTCATGACCGGATTACGCTACCCATTGTAGCTCCCCAATTTCCTCACGATGCTGGGTTGGCACCGGTCCCATACACTGGTCGAAAATCTCATGAGAAATTTCTTTCCCTGAGACTCGAACCGGCGCGCATTCCGTATCACCAGTCCAAAGCATGAAGCCTCAGATTGCGCAGATACGGCGCGGGACATACAAAGAAAATAAAAAGAATAAAACGTTTCTGGCCAGGACTCAAACTGTACATCATAAAATACTAGCAAGACATGTTGCCACTGTGGCATCTTGTTAGATGAAAGTTAATTACCTCAGAAAATCTTTTGTTCATTACAACTATAACATCATTTAATTAAACTTACTGTCCACTCAACTGTCCTGTATTGTTACTGTCAACACAAGATGTAGTGCTATTTTCCAGACTATTATTGGTAACACATCCATCTTCTTTTTTCACCAAGACACATACAGGTAGCATGGCATCACTTATAAACACTCCCTGCAATGACAACATGAATTAAATATAGTGTAACTCCTATCACCTTCTACCTCCATGATATGAAACATTAACTGAGATTAGAACATCGGGCCTATAAAATATGAAGCAGCAGCTGTTACCTATACAATGACATTCAAATATTGCCAGTAAAGTCAGGGTTATGTGGTTATCCTTAGAGTTTGTATGAAGTTTGGGCAAAATAAATGCAGTTACTTTAATTAAATTCCCATTCATACAATAAATCAAGTCAACAATTTTACTTTTTTCTGAGACAAAAACTCATCATCTTGGATATAATCTGTTTTCTATCGAAAGGGTATAGTCCAAATACAAATGGCATTACCTCTGGATCCATTTTCACATCCTCAGTTTGCTGTAATCTCTCTTCGCCATTTTTGGCAAAAACACTCATATCAGTATCATCATATTCTGATGGTTGCTCTTGTTTCACTTTCACAACATTCAGACCTGCTCCTGTGTTTGTAACCACTGTCTTGGGATTTGCTGAATCTGTACAAACTTCATTCAATGCTGATACACCAATATCACAAGCTGCTGGTAACATGTTTGATCCAGTCATTTTGGACAAACTTGGATGATGCAGAGCATCAGGTTGTAAGGCAGTATCAGTCTTTTTATCTTTGGCACCTGACTGTACAGCACACACTGAGAGGTCAGAATTTATGACTACAGTGTGGCAATCAGATGTGACTGATTTTCCTGAAACTGCAGCACAATCTTTGGAAATGTTAACAGCTGGATTTTCCAACAATGATGTAGTGGCAAGATTAGTCTTTACAAATGTAGTTAAATGGTCAGACAGCGACGAGAAAGAGTCTGGAGGCCTATTAACCTGCGGGATTTTGTCCCCCTTTACTTTAACAGAACCTTTATCATTCCCTGATTCCACTGTAGTTTCATCATTCTTAGCTTCATTTGCTTTATTTCTTTCTATTTCAGCATCTGTGTTCAAATTTCCAGCTTCAACAGTTATTTTATCAATATCATTTTCACAAAATGTTTTACCATTCTTAGCTTTCACTGCAGTTTCCACTTTCGCAGAAATGGCTTCTGTAAATGCAACCTGTTTTACAGTTATGTCCATGGGCTCTTTGGCTGTATCCCTTCTTAACCCACAGTCTGATGTACTGTTGATATTAGCAAGACAGTCCATGACTGGTAATGATGTAGGGGTACAAACTCCGTTATTGGCCATTGCCTGAATGTCATTTGGTGCCAAGCCAACCAATTTCTGAAAACATAATTACTTCATTTAAAAACTACAGTAATATGCTTTTCAAACAAATTTTATACAATCCATGTTTTCCTCCCATTCCAAAAACAGACATAATATTTGTAAAGAGCCAATTAGAGCACTAAATTCTAAAGCTTAAACTCATGAAGGTCATTACTCCATCAATTCCAAAGAGTTCTCCATATTCCGTACATTTAAACCAAAAGGCACAAATGATGGTATATTACAATCAGTATCACTGTGTTTCTGGAGTTTGTTCAGCATCTGGATCCATTTCCATTCTCTAGTAGAAAAAAAGGTGGGTAATACCTACTCAAGTGTGCCTGTTAAAAGAGCTAATGTCAATCATTGGACCAATGGTCAAATTTGTACTCCCCACCATTTCACCTCAGGATGGAAACAGATCCAATATCTGGAACATGTTTTGTTCAGAATACTCGATGAACAAAGATCATAAATCCATAAATCTTGAATTTAAAATGTGGGCTAAAATTTTAGCGGAGTTATTATTATTTAGTGTTCTGTCTGACGACAGGTCCATTGTTTTCCCTAGCAAACAAATTACAAACATTAGTCAGGTAACAAACAGCAACTGGATACTCTAACAGTACAGAACCTACCAAGAATACGCAGATTCTGATAATGACAGTACTTACAAAATACGACATTTTAAAATTGTACATTTTAACTTTTTCATAATTTAGAAGAAGAAAAAACTGTCTACAACATTAAATAATATCTCCAAGTTCAAGTACTGTAAAGTAAGATAACTGTCTTCTGGGTTGTAGCACAGTGTAGTGTGGCACAAGTTTACCAATGTTTCAGAGGCCCTTGCTATCTCCATCATCAGGGTCACTGCCCCAGACTACAGTGCTACAACCTCAAATTCTACTGTACTACAACACCACAAACACTGGTGAGATTTGAGGTTCTAACAGTAACAAGTATTAAAACATGTCTTCTCAGACATAGCACCATGCAATTGACTGAAGTTTCAGAAGAGCTTGCTGCCATCATGAACAGGTAATGAATGTGGTGCACACAGAAATACTGCAGTGGATACAGCAGTAGGATGGACAAGGCACAGCTCCGACTAGTCCAATGGGGAAGAGAAGCAGAACCAAGCAAATGGGCCTTGCTGAGGTTCCCCTTTCTTCCACTGGTACTGTTATGTAAAGGTTTCACATTGAAAAGACTCACCTTTTACCTCACACTAACTTCCTTAATAGATTACAGCTACTCACACTTAGCAGTTTAACAGCAAGATCAACTGTCTGCCTTATATTTTTCAGTTCATTTTTAATTTCAACAAATTGTACAACACTCCTATGGCAGCAAGAGCCTTCTGTCTTTG